TAGAAGACACTGCATCTCTGGCCACCCTCTCCTGTACTGGCCAGACCTTCTCTTCAGTCCCTTAATTTACTGATCCAGAAGGAAGGGTAGTCTTACTCTCCTTTGCTACTTCCACTGCTGCCATCACTCAGCACCCTCTATTCTTTTTGAGGTTCGCTCTACTCAGATATATCACCCCACTCAGATCCTCATGGCAGCTCCCATGGCATCCTCCTTCCTTTCTCAAGGGGTTCAGTACCTGGCTCAAAGTCTTCTTCTCCATCCCAACCGCTACCTTTATGAATGAATGTTTAAAAAAAACCTTAATAAGGACTTCTTCTATTAAAATTACTAGGGACAGAAAAGCAAGACAGTCCCTGATCCAAGAAGCTCACATTCTAATGAGGGAGACAATACATATGGGTTTCAGCTGTAAGTCAGATGGAAAATCCCAGGAACCTTATGGTGCTGGTGCTGGGGCAAGGTAAATGTAATGCATCTCCTCTAATGTTATTTTCATTGATAAAACCATGTTCATTTCTGATATGGAATCATTTGACAGTGCCAAGGATTTTGATGTTGAGAACTTTCATTTCAGGTATTCATGGCTGTGACTGCTGGGGAGATGAATGCTGAAGCATCTGCAGAAGCCATTGCTAGGTAATATCTCTACCAGAACCTATTCCCTGAATGATGGTTTGGGGGTGGGGTAGGGCTGAGCTGGGCTGGAAGCAGGGCCACAGTGGGGTCAGAACTGCTGTTCCCAGGGCTCTAGAACTTAGGATCCTGGCTTTTCAATATTAGAAGTGGTTGTTGAGGTGGTGGTGAAAGTTTGATTTGCCTGGAACATACCACGTCCTCATCACACATATTTTCTCAAACACTAGCCATCAGTGTCCTCAGCTCTCAATACTTTCACTCCACTTCAGCCATACCTGGGGACAGCTACACCCTTCTTCATTTTACCATTGCTTACAAGTGTTCCACCAGCATGATCAAGAATTTTGAAATTCTTCTATATGACCATAACTGACCATCATTCCATCTCTTTCTGCTCCTCACTCCTCCTAAACCTGTTATTTTCATGGTGACCTTGAATCCCTTCACCCCTCAGTGTCCTCCCATGCTATCCTCTGCTGACTTCACTTTTCTTCCTTCCTGTTCTTGAGCCTATAAACACTTCAACTTTATATGATATTCTGCTTTAAAACTCCTTTCCCCCTGTCCTATTCTAACCCTGCCCTGCTAAAATGCATTCCTACTTAAGTGGTGGTGAAAAAGTCACATAATCATGCTGATTATATTTCCTGCAAATTTACGTTATCTACTCTCAACTCTGTCTTCACAGCTATGAGTCAATCTTTGACTTCTCCCTAACCAATTCTATCCCACTCGCCAGTGGCTGTTCCACACTTTCTCTTCTCCCATGAAGCCTACTGTGGTACCCTATCTTCCCATTCTTAGCTGAAGACCTCAACTCTTTATTTTACTGAGAAAATAGACATCATTTGCTTTGAGTTTCCTTTCTCCCCTTCTCTATATCTTATCATCCAGGATATCAACCCTCATTCTTTCTTCTTTTAGTCTCTGATAATCAAAGGTGAAACCCTTCTCCTTACCAAGGTCAACCCCTCTAGATGAACCCTTAATCCTATCTCCTCCCTTCTTCAGTAACTGCTTCCACTATTACCCAACCTTTATAATTCTTAATCTCTTTCTACTTGTTTCTTCCCTGCTACCAATACAGAAACATGCCTTCATTCTTAAAACAAACAAAAAACTGTCTCAAAACTTTGATATGCTATCACTTCCTCTTCTCAGTTAAATTCCTTGCAAAAGCAATTTACATTTACTGCGTCCACTTCCTCTCTCCTCACTCTTCAATTCTACACTGTCCTTTCCTCTCAAATCCCTTGCCCCCATGTCCTATTACTATATATCTCTTGCCAAGCTTCAGCAGTAGACTACTCCCACCATCTATCTGCCTTCTCTACTCCTACTCATGGGAAGAACTGGAAGATGTCTCATAATCATGCAGACATTACAAATTCATCTTAACCAATAACCTTCACACCCTCACTGCAGCAAGGCAGTCTCCTTATTCCTTCCTAACTGATTTCATCACCAGAAGAAGCTGTTTCAAACCTCTTCCCTTCTCAAGCTTCCCATACCTCTCCTAATTCACTCTTAGCTGAGAACCTAGCCTCCTACTTCACTGAAACCCCCCCCCAAAACCAGAATCCAATATCCCCATAGACATCAAAATATTTATAGTAATACTTTTTATGATAGTGTAGATACCCATCTATTGGGGAATGGCTAAACATTGTGATACATGGATGTAATAGAATATTACTATGCTATAAGAAATCGTATCAGTGATGCATACAGAGAAGCATGGAAAGATCTACATGAACTGTCATAGAGCGAGGCAAGCCAAGAAAACAACATACTCAGCTACAACAATGTAAATGGAAAGAACCACAAACACAATTAAATTTGCAAAATTATAAATCACAAATACAATTAAAATTGCAAAATTATAAAAAATTAGCATGGCTTGAAGAGATATGAAGACCCTCCCTACCCTTTGCAGAGTAGGGCAGACTGCAAGTGTTGCACATTGCCTGTTTTTTGACTTTTTCAATGTATTGATTGATTGTCCTAATTTTTTTCCTTTTTTTTTGGCCTTAAAAAATACTATTTGTTTACAAGCCATTCCCCAACTGACAAATGATTAAAGGATATGAACAGGCAGTTTTCAGATGAAGAAATCAAAGTTATCTGTAGGCATATGAAGTGCTCTAAATCACTTTTGATTAGAGAAATGCAAATTAAAACATCTGAGATACCACCTCACATCTATCAGATTGGCCAATATGACAAAAACAGAAAACGATAAATGTTGGAGAGGATGTGGGAAAATTGGGACATTGATATACTGTTGATGGAGTTGTGAACTGATCCAATCATTCTGGAGAGCAATTTAGAACTATGCCCAAAGGGCAACCAAACTGCATTAGCTTTGATCCAGCAACACCACTAGGTCTGTATCCCAGAGTCATCAAAAGGGAAAAGGACCTACCTGTGCAGAAATATTTATAGCAGCCCTTTTTCATGGTGGCAAAATGCTGGAAATTGAGGGGATGCCCATTAACTGAAGAATGCCTGAACAAGCTGTGGTATATGAGTGTAACGGAATACTATTGTGCAATAAGAAATGAACAGGCAATTTCAGAAAATCCTGGAAAAACTTGTATGAACTGATGCAAAGTGAAACGAGAACCAGGAAAACATTGTACACAATATCAGCAACATTGTGTGATCAACTATGAATGACTCAGCTCTTCTCAGCAACACAATGACCCAACACAAGAAGAACTCTTGAGGGACAGTTTGGAGCACCAGCCCTGGGGTCGGGGGCACCTGAGTTCAAATCCGGCCTCAGACCAAACACTTGACACTTAACTAGATGTGTGACCCTGGGCAGATCACTTAACCCCAACTGCCTTAAAAAAAAAAAAACTCGAAGGAAAATGCTATCCACATTCAGATAAAGAACTGATGGACTCTGAATGTAGATCGAAGCATATTTTTTTGTCACTTAATCTTTCTTGTGGGTTTTTTCCCCCTTGGATCTGTTTCTTTCTTCACAATTGTGACTAATATGAAAATATTTTTACATAATAGTATACGTATAAACTATATTAAACTGCCTACCATTTTCAGAAGAGGGAGGGGAAGGAGGGAAGAAGAAAAATTTGGAACTCAAAATCTTTCAAAAATAAATGCTAAAAATTTTCTTGACATGTAACTGGGGAAAAAATATTAAGGCTGTACTGATCTCTCTTCATTATATCCAGTCTCAATCTTCCATGTGGTGAATAAGTCCATTACAAATCTGTGCTATCCTACTTAGACTCAATTGGGCCCTCACACCACACAGCAACCTTCACTCATCTGGACTCTCTCTCTATGCCTTTTTCAAGGTTCCTGCGGCTCTAAATCCTCACTGTTCATCTTTGGTTTTCTACCACTTAACGGAATCAAAGTATCATTCTTAAGTCATTCCTTTTGAGTGTGAAAATGACAAGTAATCAGAATATGTCACTTCACACCATTTCCCTATATGGAATTTCAAGACATTAATTTCTTTTGAGCTAGTTAAGTACCAAGCTAGACAAAATCCAGATCCTAGTTCACCTTCAGAGCTGGATTATTAAAATCAAAATTTACAACTTAATAGTTACCTCTCTAGGCAGCTAGATGGCACAATGGAGATTGCTGGACTGGAAGAGGAAGGCCAGAATTCAATTATGCCATTTCAATTTTAAGAATGGCTTCTCAACATTAACTATACATCTCTTCATGTTGCTGTGGGTTTTTCCACAAGTATAACATGCAGAAGCTATCCAAGACACAATAGATTTGCGACCCTGGGCAATTCACAACCCCCTCAGCCTGTTTCCCCATTGGTAAAATCGGGAATAGATAATGGCTAGCACCTCACAGGGCTGTGATGCAATCAAGTGAGAACCTTAAAGCAACATATAAATGCTGTTATGACTACTGTAACACTAATGAGGTCAAAGCAAGGAGCAGAATTCAACCTGACAAACCTGGTTAACTTTTTGTTTTTAGGCCAGACGCTGCAATTGACCCCTGGTGAATCGCAACCCTTGGTGTACATGATGCAAAGTGGGCCATCTTTTCCTATCAAATGTACTGTATTAACATTTGGTTAGAGCAGACTTGCCTCTGTTATTGCACCATTTCTCAGCTAGATCTATTGCTGCCTATAATTGAAGTGGGTAGTAGTCTCGTAGAAAAAAAATTATAAGAAAAGTTAGTCAATTCAAGGCACAGTGGGTGTTGCCTTTTGACAGGATTTTCTAGAAAGCCTCAGATAAAGGGGAGTTCCCCATTTATACAAAAATACATGTCTCCTAAACCAAAGCATGGTTTTAGCATTCATCATTGTGTATTCTAGTGTAACAGAATAAACACACAAAAACAAGGTGACATTTTCCATTAGACACAGTTTAATTCATTGAAAAGTGCAGCAGTGAACAGGGTCCTTGGAAGGGCACTTTCTAAACCATATGAAATGATACAACGAAGCAGGGGTATGTTAACAAGACAAAAATTCAAATAACATGGCTGCACCTCAGTAGTTTTATAACCAAAGTACAAAAAATGAACATCTGCTTTGGTTGTTTGGTTAACTGAGACAGCCTTCCAGTGTAAATTCTGGTAAAGTGGTGTTAAAGCCTTAGTTTTCTCCTGATGTACATCTGGGATGCCTCCCCTCCCACCCCCAAAGGTCCCAACCCTAAAATGTGACAAGTTATAACGTACCATTGAAAGAAGTTAAATTTGTTTTTCATGTGCTAGGTAACACACACTGCCGAGATTCTCTCACTATTTCAAAATCTGCTGTTTCATTGTCTTAAGTGAACTTATTAAGTGTTTGAATCTGACAGATGATTTGAAGGTGAAAGAGCTTCCTAAAGGAAGGTTCATAAGGCAAGGCCTCTATCCATCTTAACAGTTACATGGCTCTCGTGTAATAAAAGGTGCAGACAGCACATAGTCATCTTAAGAAAAAGTAGCACAAAGACTCCAGACACAACATGGTGGAAATTAATAACCACCTGTGAGAGATCAAGTCTATTTTTTCCCTGGAGATGGCACCAGGTTTTAGAATTGTCAATACTACCAAAAACAAAAACAAAACAAAAACCACCCACAGAACACCCAACCCAAAACAACAAAATAATGGTTCCTTTGCACAGTTTTTACAAAGGATGGAAAACCAATTAACAAGACTTGGGAGATGGAAAAGAAAGACAAAAAAGCCACTGAGCTTCCTCCAACCAAGCATTTAGAGGGAATGCGGCAGTAACACCCTAAGCAGTTGGCTTTATTCTATTTTTAATGTTTTGCGTGATTTTGTGTGGGAACTTGAGTAAGGGGATTTTCTCAATGACTAAATGGGAAAATACATTTCTCTTTACTCAGGAAAAATGGTAGTATTTATTTTTATCAGTAAGTATACTATGTTAGATGAGATTCAGTTTGCTTACATATTGTTTCACCCTCATAAAGAATCAAACAACATAAAGAAGAAAAAAAGTCAACTCCCATACTAGACATCGTGGTTTGTCTTATGCCATTTCAATTTTAAGAATGGCTTCTCAACACTAACTATACATCTCTTCATGTTGCTATGGGTTTTTCCACAGGTATAACATGCAGAGGTTAATCTGAATTAAATATCTAAATCAAGAATACCACATGAAACAGGAATCATGTAAAAGGATAAATCCTATGGCTACTAACCCAGAATTGCTATCTGACTACTGGTGAAAAACAAGACACTTAAAAGCTTCATTACAACCCTAAATAAAGCTAAAAATCTTTTTTTTTTGCCTGAGACAAGTCAGTCCATTACAAACCACATATTCCCTCTGCCTGCCCTTCTATAAACTGCTTTTGTATTTTAAAAAGTAAATAAGTTAGATATCAATACTGCATGGTGTTAAGATCCCTCAAAGTGGGAAAATATCTGTTAGTTTTTCTCAACAGTGAAACAGGCTAAAACATTAGTCTTCCTCTAATATACAAACGAGGGTTAAACCACAGAAGCCTCTTACAATTCTAAAGTATTTAATGATTTTGGAGAGGAAAGGGGCAGAATTAGTTATACTTTCCAGTCAATGACTGGAGGAGGAAGAGGAAGGGTGGGCAATGAGAACACATTTGGTTTCTCATAAGATGTGAAAAACAGCTTTGCCTGAAAAATGGCACAGAGGAGTCAAACAAAAAGTCAAGACTGGCTTAAGAACCAAACTACTTGACAGATATTTAGTGGAAAGGCTAGTACTCTAATCTGTCAACCTAAGACTAAGCTTCCTAAAGCAGGTACTCAAATTAGAGCTCTCATCAACACCCAATCATGTGTCACTTCTCAATATCATAGGAAAGACAGCCCTCATTTCTTTCTGGGGAAAACAGATGTTTCTGGGGAAAATCAGGGACTGTTAATCATAACTACATAGCAGCACTTATTTTACTTACCAGCAGCTCAAGAGAGGTCACCTTTAACATACCAGCTATGTGGAATTAGTTGTTTAATTTTTGTTTTTTTGAATGAAAGTTTGCTGCTGAATTAAGATAATCTGCTTTTCCTATGGAGGATGTCTAAAGTATCAGTCCAGCATTAAAAAAAAAAACCCAACAAAAAACCCCCAAAAGACAGGAAAGAACTAGTCTATGAGGTCTGGGATGCTGCCACACTCATAAGAGTTAGTGATACTGCTTATAGTCGAAAGACTATGGCACTTGTTCTATTCAGATCATAAGTCATATTATGGTGATTAGAATTTTTGTTGGCATTTCTGATATGAAAATCTAAAAATCTGAAATGCTGTAAGAGGGATGTACAGGTTAACTTTTGTACCAACAAGGGCGAAAAAAATTGAAATATTTATCTAAATTCATTTGTAAACCAATTTTTTCAGTTGTTATTCAGATACAGAACCTCAGGTCATCACCAGGAACTCTGGGTCATAAAAGTATACAAAAACCTCAAAATGCTGAGTAAATGGATCACAGGTTGGCCACCTCTGACTGTGGTGGGAATTGGAGTTCACAGTTTTAAAACATATTGCACAAGGAAGTCAGCTGATTAGGTTTTTTCCAAATAGGATTTAAAATGAGAAGCCAGTCCAGAAGCTCTTCCAGGCATGGTCTCGACAATTTGGAGAGAGAGAAAGAGAGAGAGACCTACTATAGTCATTCCAGGAAGAAATGCAGGAATCCAACTGCATAGGTTAGGAAAAGTTACTACAGAGATGGTTTTAAAAACCTTCGAGTCCTGATACTGCCACCATGATTGCTGAACATGAGACGTGGGTCAAATCTATACCTAAATGAAGACAGAGGAAAGAAAAAAAAAAAGAAAATTGTATCAACTCTAGTTAGTTACCATTAAGAATTTTCTTTTACTTCGAGGAGACAATAATATGTGCCACTGGAAGAGGGCAGGAGAAAAACAGTCCTTGACTTGGATAGGTAACTAATCTAAGAAGACCAACTCCTCTAGACACCAGCAAGACCTTATGAAACCTGCAAGGCAATGCATCATCACAAAACAGTATAAGCTGTATATGATTTGCTGAGAGGATGCAGATAAAAGAAACAAATCAGAAATGACAGTAAGCCTATGGATGGGTTTTTTAAGAGGTGAAGGACTGTGAGGGGACAGCATTTCAGGAATAAATGTGATGAGAAGACACGTAAGATACGACATATATAATAAATGCTTTGGGAACATTAGTTTTAAGTCTTATTTCAGAAAATCCTATAAGCCCATTCTGTGAAATGAAAAAAATCAGATCCTCAGAAAAATTTCGCATAGCCTTAACACAGACATCTGAACCATTGTAAGATTCTTAAAAAACCCCCAACATAATATAAGGGAAAGAACACATTTAGGTTTCAGGAGACCCACAATGGACCGACAACTATGCCCTTGGGAAAATAATTTCTTTTATTTTTTGTATCTTGTTTCTTTACTTATCAAATGACAGTCACACTAGATTGTGACCCTTTTCCACTCACTGAATTCTGTACTTTAAATTGTAGACCTGTTACCTTTTATGATTTCTGAGCTACAAAATAGAGATTTACAATGTATGATGCTAGGGACCTGAAACGAGGGATGGTGCTCCCAGAAGATGAATTATCTGATGCTATTTGGGGCATAAGAAAATTAACAACAGGCACCCCCCTTGATCACCACTATAGGTCTAGGATAAGTGATGCTTCTGAATTAACAGAGTCGGGTGAGCAAGTGTGCATGACAGCAATCTTAAGATCCAGCAATGGAATGGTTGGAGGTCTGGTGACTTTATTGCAAAGAGTTAGATTTCTAGAGTTCTCTATACAAGATTTTTGTACCATGGCAGCTGCTGAAATGCTGACAGAGGCAAGTGCCCAGGAAAAAATTATTTGTTTCCAAAGCATTCATTGCTGTAGACATGCAGCTGTTTATCTGGCTCGATAAATGGCTGCTATGCTTAGAATGAAAATTATTGGAAAGCTGCAAAATCAGGGGAAAGTTAAGCTTACTCTGCAGAGGTCTGAGCTTCCTAAGGAAAGGAAATAGTTTCTATAGCTGCATTCCCACTTAATTGGTCTGTGCACAAAGGACCAAGAGCAGAAAAATACAGTACAGTTTCAATCCAGTCCCTAGTGACTTGATATACAGTTATCTAGCAGAGGTGGGGAATCTTCGGCCTCAAAGTCACATGTGGCCTTTTAGGTCCTTGGGTGAGGCCTTCTGACTGAATCCAAACTTCACAGACCAAATCTCCTTAATAAAAGGGTTTGTTCTATAAAACTCATAGACTCAGTCAAAAGGCCACACCCGAGGACCTAGAAGGCCATGTGTGGCCTTGAGGCTGCAGGTTCCCTACTCCTGAAAGTCTAAACCGTCAAAACCGTTCATACAAACTTGAAGTAAAACATGGTCTGCTATAGAAGTATCATGTGATAAAAATGCGACAATTTAAAGTCGGAATCCCTTATGCAATAATATAATGGATCTGAGTGATCTCTTCATGTTTGCATTCCCTTCAGGGTTGCAGAACTCAGGCCATCCATGCCTTTTATCCCATTCCATTCTTATCCATGTCTTTCTGAAAATCCTTCCCAGAAGACCTACCCATGACCTTCAGGGGCCTTCTTTCTCTCTCTGGTCCTTCCATTACTTCAGGGATATTGGTGCGTAACTTAGGCACCCTTCTCCTTCACACTTGCCATTCTTTAAAAGCAGCAAGACAGAATTGGTTTCAAGGTCATTAAGTTGAGCAAGGCTTATAAAGCAAGCTTTCTGCAAACCTCGTAAAGCGCTATATAAGGTGTTTCAGAAATATGAAGTGCACATTTAATGTAACAAGAAGTCTCTGGACTCAGGTGTAATTCTTCTTTCCATATTTTACAATATCACCTCTCCAAACCTAAGCTGGGTTCTAGTCCTCATTCAGCCTGTAGCTTGGCTGCTGAATATTTTCTCATCTACAAAGGAGAATGTTGTACTAGATTACTTCCAAAGTGAATGCAAACTCTAATGTTCTGATTCTATAAAGCATACTGGCTCAGGATACAAAGTGAGGCTGGTGAAGCTCTCTGACCACTTATTTGGATTCAAATAACTTCAAGAGCACCAAGTTTCTGAACTCCCAATTAGTAAGGGGGAAAAAAAAGGCAGGTAGAAACTCACCTGTATCACACATGTCAATGTACCAGGCACCACTGAACAAAGAGCCATAAAGGCCAGAGAGCAATTTAAGAGATGTGAGTTTAGCTGGCAAGCAGCAGCATCATCTATAATAGATCAGAAAGCACCCATGTGGGCCTCAGCTTTAATCTTTTTCTTAACATCTCACTGTCAGTGTAAGGTGCATGTACTATTTCAATAAACCACAAGTGAAGGCAGGCAGAGGTTAAGTGCCTTGTGCCTGGATTACACAGCTAGGAAATGTCTATAGGAGGATTTGGACTCGGGTCTTCCGGACTCCCGGTATAAGGCTCTAGCTGGTGCACCACCTGAACATCTTCATCTAAGTTCTCTATCAATATACGGCTACCTCTAGTGCAGGTCTATCCATCTACTAACTTTTACTCTAGCTATATGACCAGTTCCTTTTCAGTTCATACACTTCCCTGTTTTTCTAATGCCACCAGTTACTGTATGCAAATCAGTTGGTAAACATGCTCCAGTCTAAAAGTGTCCACCATAAGTCTCTCCACTGCTCTTTGGAGACTGTGACACTATGGCCTGTAATCAAACACCATCACTAGGGGAACACTAGTGGCGAACAGACAGGGTTAGGTCCACTTGCAGGTCAGGTTTATTTAAAGCATTAAGCAATTACCTAAATGTAACACAGCCTGCTTTCTTCCACCAATTCTAGACCCTTGCCATTATTTTTCTGAAGCATCTGCCTACCCACTCATCCAACGGTTCAGAAGCAATATCCAACTCCTCACAATGCTCAAGAAAGGTCTCTAAGTTCTTACTATGATACGCAGACTATATGAGGTATGGCATTTGAAGAAAAAAGATGGTAAAAAGGCTCATTCTGCTCAATGACAGAAGACATGTGTGATGCTGGCAATGATACAATAATCTTTTATGTAACATTTCATAGTCTACGATAGCCTTTTAGATAAAGAACAGAGATAATCATCCCTAATTTGTTGAAAAGGAACTGACAGAACTGGGTCTTGACTCCAGGCTTTATTCCCAGTTCAGTGTCCTGCTGCTTCATGCAGCTCTGTATAATTCTGTTTGTGGCAAAAAAAAGTGAATAGCCAACCAGGTCTCCCACTAAGGCCACCATGTTCGCCAAGGATTTATTTTACAATCAACTGCAAGAAGAGGAAAACTTACCCTGGATCAAAAATTCCTGGTGTACGGCATGTTGGTCCAGAACAAGATTGTAACATCATTAGTCGATAATTCATCTTCCCTAAAAGCTCTGGATCTATACTTTTAGCAATGTTGTCAATCTGATGTGGGTCAGCAGTCAGATTATAGACCTCTACAAACACCTATGAAATTAGGGGTGAGAGAATTGGAAAAAAATACTAAATACTACAAAAATACTAAAAGTGGATGTCTTATTCACAAGTAATATAGCTAGAAAATTACCAGAACTGTTCAGACATGATGGCTTAAACTGAGTCAATTTGGCTAAGGTGTTACTTACATGAATTATAATTACCAGCATATTCAGGCTGATCATCTCTAAAATTATTCATCACGATGCATATATTTAAGGTACGGAGTTAAAGAAAAAAAAACAAAAACAAAAATGAAATTCCCATTTCCCCCAACCTGAGGTCAATTTATGTTTGATGTTGTGGCAGCTGACCCTGTATGTTGGTTTTCTACAGCTACTACCAGACTAAAGCAATAATAACCTCAGCTGGGTCGGTCTCTGCTTACTAGTAAGCCACCCATATGGTTTATCATGCTCAGACTGGATTTGGCTCACCTTACCTCTAGACGTTTTTGTACAAGGTCATGGTTGAGTCTACTCCTGTGAGGATGCAGGTTTGAGAATTCATCAGTGGTTACCTACTTGATCTGTACCACCTGTACATATAACTATCCAACTTTCACGGTAAATATTGTGTATGGTTTTCTTCTAGTGCGTATATTTTCCTTCTGCATGTTTTAAGTATACAGCCCACATCCAGACAACGTAATTCTCAAAAGGTTTGTAGATGGAACGATAGTTAAGAAGTATATAATGAGTACTGGCCAAAACTCAACTTTATTTATCAACATGTGTCTTGATAAAATAGGATAAGTCCTACAGCAAATTCTTATCCTGACTTTGGAGGAGAGCACAATTCTAACAAGCAACTACTCGTGGAAAATAATTTTTACAGGTTTGTACCAATTAATGTCTGCTAAAGATATCCCTTCATCTCAAAGAATGGAGAGAAAGCCCCCCACCTTCACCCTAATGACAGCAAAACAGTAATAATATGAGAAGGAATTTTCGTAGCAAGACAAACACTGGAAGGGTTCAGCTATTCTCTATTCAGGAGGATACAGGAAGGGACAGGACCCATGACTCTGCTGGTTAAAAGGAACTCTAGGATGAGTAAACTCTTTCTACTAATACAAGTTGGCACCTTCTCTATATCTCCATTTCAGAGCTGTCTAGGGTGCCAAGAAGTTCAGTCATACAGCCAATTTGTGTCAGAAGTAAGATTCGAACCCAGGTGGTTCTGGCTCTGGGGCTAGCTCTCTCTTCATGATGCTATGTTACCACTCTGGAGCTAGTCTCAACTAGCATGAGGTCTTCCCTCATTAGGCTGGTGACAGAAGACCTTGTTACAGAGAACACGGCTGTAGGAATGAGTTTATGAAAAGTTAACACGCTTGCCAAGGAGCTCCAAGTCTCCACGCCGCCCACAGAATTATTCTACAGCAGAGGCAGGACCAAATCTCAAAGAACACTGCACTGGCAGAAAGACAAGCTGAGGGCTGGGGACAAGCGTGTCTCACCTCTTGATCATCAAATTCACAATACTGCAAGTTCCGTGCCTTTGACATCGTCCTCACACAAGCGTATGTGTTGTTATAAGCGTCTTCACACACACAGTCTGGAAAACATTGCTGTCACAAGATTAAAAATGAAAACGATGAAGACCATTTTGCTCACAGTGACAGACGTCCACGTATCATTCCCAAGGCTATCGGTAAAGTGGCAGCAATGCTGGTTACTAGGATTCTCCACGGGGACAGGGAGTTTGTGTTTTGTGCAAGAATCAATAGAAGCAATTCTCAAAAAAGGTGGAGAAGGAGGAAGATGATATTATTGGTTGCCCACACTGCTAAATTTTCACCACACATGTTCTTTCTCCCTCATTGGGAGGTGGGAGTGCTAGCTATTCTAAATCCTGTGTAATTTAAATAAAGGATTTTATATCAAATGGGAAAAGGGAATTGATTGCTTAAAAAAAACTTTTTAGAGTCAACACCATAGTCTAAGGCAGAAAACATTTTATTCTCCAAATGCTTTTCTCTTTTAGATGACTGGATTCCACCACCAATTACTTGCAAGGGATGGCTAATAGGGCCTGACTGATTAGGGCCTACTGTCAAAGCAAGGTTACAATTTAAGCCCCATTTGGGTTCTCTGTACAACGTCTAAGCACAATGTCTATGTACGATGCCTACTCTCTGCTCTTTCACAAAGGTCAGCCTTCAGATACAAGGGGCACTCTTTAACTGTGGACAGATCAGCCCCTCACTACTACTGGGGGACGGGATGGGGAAGTACCACTAAATGCTTCCTTGATGTGTACAAAGGCCTAGTAAAAATCACATTTCTACATTCTCCAAGAATCCTGTGGCACAGAACAGGAGACTGGAATTTAAAATCAAAGGTTTCAGCAGGGGACATTTCTAGGCCAGTAATGAAACAAATTACACAAAAGGGGGAAAAAGTCAAGCTGCCTCTGCTTACACTGACTCCAGGGCCCAAAGCAGGACAAGTTGGGTCGGTGCCATTATAACCTTCTCCTTGATATTCCACCAGGACATCCGATCTCCAAGTCAAATTACTGGTCCCTCTCTAAAAAGGAAACAGTGGTTTTTCTGTTAATGTCCAGCATGGAAAAGAAACTTATTTACCCAACTGCAGAAAATTACTCTTGGATCCCAGACTAATTGGTCTCAATTTCTAATTACTAAATTTGAAGCCACATTAGAAAAAAAAAAAACGAAACAAAACCACAAAACAAAAAAAGTAATGCTAGCATTTAAGTGCTCACTACATGCTAGGCACAGTGCTATGCAACAGGGAAACAGACAAAAATGAAATAGTCCTCCATCTCAAAGAGCTTACATCACAGTAAATAAGTAAAGTAAGTGCACGCAAAACACAAAGAAGATATGGAGTGATTTTTTTTGGGGGGGGGCAGGGAGCAGTTGGGGAAAGAAATTAAGAAAAGCCTCCAGACGGTGCTGAGTAAGTTGAACTTCAAAGGAAACTAGGAATTCTAAGCAGCAGAGGTGAGGGATGAGTGCATTCCAGGCAGGAGGGAAAGTCAATGAAAAGGTAAGAGATGAAATGTGCATGAACAAAGAGCAAGAAGCCCAATTTAGCTAACCCACAGAGTATGCGAAGGGGGGCAAGACTGGCAAGTTAGTCTGCACGGGTTAGGAAGGGCTTTCTTTAAAGCCAGAGGAGCTTCATATTTGACTAGAGATAACAGGGAGTCGCTGGCGTTTGAGTAGCGACAGCCTGAGCTGCAGCCAACGTGCCCGTGGCTGAGCACAAAGGATAGTTTGGAGTGGAAAGAATGGAAGCAGGAAGACCAACTGGGAGGTGACAGCAGTTTAGGTGAAAGACTGAGACCCTGAGGTGGGGCACCGGCTGTGAGTGGAGAGAAAGGGATGGACATCAGATCCCGTGGAGGTATCACTGACAAGACCGGGCAAGTAACTGGAGATGCGAACTGAGTGAGAATGATGCTGAGCTGAAAACATGGGTAACGTGAAGGATAGTGATACCCTAGGCAGTAAGCAAATTAGGAAAAGGGGAGAGTTTAGAACAAGACATCAAGTTAGTTTTCGTCATGCCGAGACTGGGAAGCCTATAGGATGTCCAGTGTGTAAATGTCTGACAGGCAGCTGGCAACATGGACTGAGAACTCAGTAAAGCAACAAAAAGATGACTGGGCAGTCCTGGCATTCATGCAGCCATCTTGCACTCTGAACATTTAACAGCAGTTCCCCTGGATGTCGGAAACTATTCCTTTCCTGTCATAGGAATTCAGGCAAGGAAGTACAGAGGTTGAGCGACTGGTTTAAGGCTACAGAACTAGGTCACAGAGGCAAAGGCTACACTAGAATGCATCAAAATATTTGCTAAGTGGCTATCATATACAATCTGGAGTATGCCAACAACCACAATGTGGGGTACCTTCCCTCAAGACACTTACCACATATTTGGGGGAGAAGTAACAAATGAGGAAGAAAAATCAGAGCACTACACCAATAAAAAGCATTTAAAGACATTTTCAAGGAAAAATTATTAACATTTTCCAAAGTTAAAGAAAAAAGGAATACAAGGAGGAAAAGTGTATGTAAATGCCCTCACATTTAACAAAGCACAGCCAAGTGAATTAAATGAGGGGTATCTGCTGTGCCTCAGACATCCACTCAAGCCTCAGCTCCCTCAGAAGCACAAAGCTAAGACTTCCTGAACTACTTACCTTGTCTGGCTGCTGGGATGAAAGCTTCATAAAAATCCTAAAAACTCTGGGGAGGTAACAGGAAGAAGCAGGACCATTCCCTTGCAGGGGAATGTCACTACTCAAACACCAGTGACTCTCTGTTATCTCTAGTCAAATATGAAGCTCCTCTGGCTTTAAAGAAAGCCCTTCCTAACCCTTGCAAACTAACTTTCCAATCTCGCCCTCCTTCACATACTCTATGAGTTAGCAGTCGTCAGGGAAGGTCCTGGGTCTGCAACCACTCCAGAGGAGATACTAGAACTCTGAGGCCTACTGTAAGTCGAATCCCTTGGTCATGGGTGTTCTTCAGGACCCCAAGGGCAGGGGCAGGAACAAAAAGTGGAAGGTGCAGTTGATATAGACCCAGGCCTCATCGGGGGTTGGAGAGGCTTTCCTAACAATTAGGGCTGCTCAAAAGTAGAACGGATGACTGGGAAATCACAGGGCCCTCTATCCTTTGAGGCTGGAATACTGTTCATCTATATACAGGCAGAAGAAAAAATAATAACATTTGTATAATGCTTACCATGTGCCAGGCACTGTGCTAAGTGCTTTACAATCATTATCTCATTTACTGAAGACTCTGAGGCACATCCCAACTCAATCTGATTTCAAGGCCAGAAGAATAATGAGCACAACAAGGTAGGAATTGATGCCTCAGACCCCGCTGTGCACTCAAGCCTTGCTCCTTTTCCAGATCTCTAAAGAAATAATGTATGTCCCTGACTTATAGGGAACCTCACCCTGACAGGATACACAAATACAAAAGGATTATGATTTCAGAGCAGACACTTGCCTCCACCAAGGCAATGACAACCTGTCTATGCCTTTCATGGGTAAAGGCCATGGAACTGTCTGAGACATAAAGAGGTTAAGTGACTTGCCCAAGTCACTCAGGTGCTAAGGGTTAGGTCTGCTCTGAAGCCTTGTCTCTAAGCTCTGCAGTCCACCTACCATACTATGTTGCCCCTAAACCCTCAGGGAAGGTTAGGAATATTATGGCATTGTGGCTAACAAATTAAAATGGAAGCAGCTAAATAGCACAGTGGAGAGAGCTGCTGGATGACAGTGGACCAGTCACTTAACCTCCGCCTGTCTCAGTTTCTTCATCTATAAAGTGGAGATAACAGTACCTACCTACTAGGGCAGCTGTGAGGATCAAATGAGATAATATTTATAAAGTGATCTGTAAACCTTAAACCACCATGTAAGTGATAGGTCTTATAATTAGCTATTATTGAAAGCAACCCACACTTAAATCCTCTTCTAATGGCTAAGATAATGAATGCAAAGCACTTTGAAAATCTCAAAGCTGAATATCAGTTATTATTATGGAATGGAAGCAAAATGCTGACTAAAGCCCTGGCAAATGTCCAAATTAATTAAATTCAGAAAAGCTCATCACCAGAAGGGTGGCCACAGCAATACAAAGACCATCTAATCTAGTGACACAGAAGAGGCTGCATTTTGAAGAAAGTACCTGTCCAATGAAATCTTAGTTCTCTGAAATACTGGAGTCAGAGGACATACGTGGCTCTACAACTTTTCTATCTGTTGTAAAGAGAGGCAAGTTAAAATTATCTGTGCAGTTTTACCATAGTAACCTCTAGGAAAGAAAATACAGGCAGGGGAAAAAGGGGCTGGATACTGAGGGACTTAGAGATTAATTATTTTATATTCACCATCACCCTCACGGAAATGACAAACTTACCAACAGGGGCAACAGGGACCTTCCATCCATTTGGGTTTTGTTCAAGTCATAGCCCGCAATGTCCAAAATAGTGGGACCCAAGTCAATGTTGGAGACGAGCATCTGTGGGTACGAAAAAGAGACTGAAGTCTCAGACAGAGCAGGTCTGGTGCTGCCTCCCAATGCTTGCTGACTGATCAACAACAATGACTCCTTGCAAATCGATGCTTATGCCACACTACCACCTAGCTGCTTTTTTACTTTAATTATGAGTATAAGGGAAGTAAAAATGAGACTGCATGGAAACACTGTGTGGCTCACTGTTTTCCAAAAACAGTCATCTTGGAAGACTTATTCTAAAGGCCATCACTGCTTACTATATTCCTAGAACCAATATAACCATTACAAATATAAGTGATAATTAGGGGCAGGGAAGAAATACATTCCCCCCTTCCATACTTTGTATGGATTGAATATCAACTGCAGCTGGTTCCACATGACATTATTTTATTTTTTTTATTTTTATTTTTTTGTTTTAGGCAGTTGGGGTTAAGTGACTTGCCCAGAGTCACACAGCTAGTACGTGTCAAGTGTTTGGTCTGAGGCTACATTTGAACTCAGGTCCTCCTGACTTCAGGGCCGGCACTCTATCCACTGCGCCACCTAGCTGCCCCCCACATGACATTATTTTAAAATGAAAAAATCTTGAACTCTCAAAAAAAAAAATCTACCACAATTAAGGCTATTGAAAGCAATGTGATACACGATTTGCAAGGAATTTCAATAAGGGAGTTAAAAAATAGTTTAAGCACTAGAAGTATCATTAGAATAAGTGCAAAGCCTCTCAAAGTAACTATGGTGGAGGGAATAACACTCATCTGCACAAGTAAGCTTTGCTAACATAATCACTACCTTCTTAGTCCAACTAATTTCATAAGCTCTTCAAAAATGTTACTGCACACATTTCCTTTCCCACAGCACCTAACACAGGACTGGGCCCCAAACAACCACCTTACATATTGCTAAGTTTGAGCAAAATTGTTAACAAACAGCAGATAAAGAAGAACATAACCAAAACAAATATTTATTAGTTTCTGAAAAGAAAAAATAGCTTTCTAACTCTAGGTAGAAGCCAGAGCTGCTCCTATATGAGAATTTTGTGGAAACATCTGGCTTCCCTACCATATTTATTTTTCTAAACATAAGGGAATAAAGGCAAGGATGTGAACAAAGGCCAGTGTTCTATGAGTATTTTTAGGCATCGATTCATCAGAGATCAAACTTTCACTTGACTGATAGCTGTGATGTTTTCTAGAGGAACAGAAGTGACGTTCTATCCTTGGAGTGCCATTTCATTGGCTCAATTCTAGCATAACTCAGTAGCTGCTGGAAATTAGTGTCTGCTACATGCACCAAACAAATGGGAGATGTTATCCAAGGCGCGCCTCAGAAACTAAAAAATAAAAATTCAACACCTTCAAGGATTAGTGAAGCTGACAGTTATTGACAAAGGCTATGTTTAAACATAGCAGCAAGAAGAAAAAGTCTGTCTTCTCTCTCTCGGCTGAATCTTATCAACAGGACTTACTCTACCACAGTTCACTACTACTTTCAGCTTCTGCTTTTAAAAAAAAAACTACAAGTTCTTTGGTTTTGGGTTATTTTTATTATTTTTTAGGCAGATGCACAGTGACATCAATCAATAAGCATTTATACCCAGTTTTCATGTGTAAATGCCATGCTTAACCAAAGTAGAACAGCACATAAACAGGAAAACTCTGTGAAATTAAAGATGTCATAACTTCATGGGGTTTGAGGCAGGGAGGAGGAGAGATGGCTACTGAATTAAACAGGCAAGTTATAGAATTAGCACCAATGTCCTATCAGTCTTTTCAGAAGGGACCTAAGAGTTGTAGGGGCAGTTCAGACCTGAAATAACTACACTGTGTATGCCAAAAATGCTAATTCTGAAGACAAAAGTAAAACCTTTGAAAGGAGGGGAAAAAAATTTCAGTAATAGCTTTCCCTTAGCAGAATCAGCAACACCAGTAGAGCCGAGTTAGAAGCACTTTCTGTGGGTATACTATTAGAAAAAGAAGAAATGAGAGAAGAGCAGAAAGGAGAAAAACAGGAAGACCTATAACAGGTAGAGATGACTATCTGGAAGTCTTGACTTTTTGCTCTGCCACCCCTCATTCTCCCAGTGAGTTGTACAGTGTTGGTAAGTACCAGAGACTGCAAAGAGTAAGAGAGACAGGTATTTGATATTTGATCAGAGGACACTTTTAAGAAGAGGGGTGGGTCACAACTAAGCAGTTAAGAGTACACCAATTTGGTCATAATTTTGAACATAACTGGCTATGCCAAATCACAGACGGCCAAAGGAAATTAATTTTTTTTTCAAATAACTACAACGAAAATCAACTTTTAAATCATTCTTCCGTGTTGTTGCTCCTTCCTCCAAACTAATAAGATGGTCATATTTATCTCCAATCATATCAGTTTTTTTTTACAGATCAGGATAAGAAAAGGTTCTGGAGAAAAGTAAAATTTTTCCTCTATAAATTATGCCCCGACAAATAGTTTGAAGAAAAAACCCAAGCATTTAAGGAAATAAAGTGTCTTGTGAAACCCTGAGAGACACAGGGGCAGTTGTACGGAAGTGGTTATTTTGAGAGGTTTGAAGTTAAGTATTTGCTGAAGAAACAAGGAAAGAGAGGGAATAGTAACACATTCACAAGGCCACCTCAAATTCCCAGACAGGGACACCTTGGCTCTGGTACAGAGAATTTGAGTGGGGCGACCAGGAAGGGCATTTTTGTTTAACCAGCTACTGTGCCAACATTTACTCTCTCCCCCATCCCCCTCCCTTACCACCAGGGAAGAGAACAGAACCTCCTCTGTAAGAACCAGATCTAATCTTTATCTGCACAACTCAACTTCTGGAACACCCTAGAGGAGATGGTACCTCCCTGTCCTCTTCTACCTCAGTTTATTTTTGGCTGATGAAAACTCGGACTGGGCATTCTAATTCATTTTCCACACCACCGCCTGAGCAAGCCTCCTAAGGAACAACTGCCTGGGCCCTCTACATCATCGACTCTTGGTCCAAGCACACTTCAACCTGGCTCCTGGCTGACCTCTGCACTACCCCCCTGCACGGATTCCACATTCTCTTCTGCCCTGTTTCAGTGCTTCTTCTCACGCTGTATTTCTTGCTTAGAAGATACTTCTTTAAAGTCCTCCCCACCTCATTCTACTCTCCCAACTCAAGGAAAACCACCCCCACACCAGCAAAATTTAGTCTCCTTCCAATTTCTTGTGGTACTTTGCCTGGTTCTCCTTTGTCAACCCCTTGTATAAATGTCATAGCTCACCGATGACCCTACCCATCAAACTGGAAACCTGAGAATTTTTCCTTCTTCTACCTTTGTATTTCTAGTCTCTAGTAGAGTCTTGTTTATTCAACAGTTAAGTACTTATCTAGACTACCAGTATCAAGCCTAATTCTAATCTTACTCAAATCCATACCCCTTCCCCAGCACAGTTAATTTAATGATTCCTTACAACAAATAACTTTAGTTGGGAGAAATATTTTGGCTAAATATCATTCTTACACTGAATTTTAAATTTGTAAACACATAACAGAAAGAGCCCTGGCTTCAAATTTTGGCTCTGCCAACTATTACTTCTTTACTACTACCAAGACCATGAGTAAGTTATTTCATTTTTCTGGGCCTCAATTTCCTTATCTGTAAGATAAGGAGATTGACCTAGATAATCTATGTCCCTTTGTAGAAGGATCTAAATCTTATGACTCCTCCCCTTAACCGCCCCCCCCCCCCATTAAAAGGAAAAACCCTAAGATCACTGCATACTTACAAGGGCCAACATGTTAAGAACCAGGCAGTAGCTCATACATGTTGAATATCGTGACAACTCAGTAGTCATCTTAGTTCCCAGCACACCAATAAGTACTTAACAGATGCTTACAAATGCCAAAGCTCTGTCTCCTCATCCCTGGATAAAGGGATGCTGCTCCTCTGCAGACTCCTCAAACCTGAAGCCTGAACCATGCCACCAGGACTTCTATAGCATTTCTACCTAGTAGGAGATGCCTAACTCATTTACTAGGAGCCAACCAAGAGAGCAGGCTGTTTAGCTGCCCTCAAGTTTAAAATACATCTCAGGTACAAGAACAACTTATTCTGAAAAACTTGTACACCTTACTGAAAACTCTATCCAACTTCACCAATTACCATTTTACTGCAAAACCCAATTGCCCTTTTCTCTGTTCCCATTTTCCTTTAAGAAGGGTAACCAAATTTCAAATACAAAGTTAGTAACCTATTTTTGGGAGGCTTCTTTCTGCATTGCAGCAAAAATGTATTATCCTCCTTGCCCTGTTCTCCCCCACCTCTGTGCCTTTACTTCTCTCACATGAGTGGGACAGGTTCTTTTCTCTCCTTCCAACTTCTCCTCATCCTCAAGGCCTGACTAGGGTCACACTTCCTCCGTGAAGCCACCCGTCCACCAGTGAAAGAAAGCTCGAGGACAGCAGGCTCTGGCTCATAGCTTTGTCTCACTAACATTTATTTGCTGAATGGAATTCTTCAGATTTGAACATCTTAGGAGAGCTGAGATTTGCTCAATACTCAATTTTATTAATATTATATATTTCCAAGTAAAACGAGTCCCTATTAAAAGTTTATTCTGTTAACAACCATTTTAGATATTTCACCATATCCTCCTTCGCATTGGTTCAAGGAGTTTCTATGGTAGTCAGTTTTCCTGTTCACAGAAATACTTATGCTAAAGTGATCCAGAGAGTCAGCTCTGAATACTAAACACTCACCGAATAATGACATGATAGGTGGATTTTTTTCATTGAGGTAATCGGGGTTAAGTGACTTGCCCAGGGTCACATAGCTAGTAAGTGTCAAGTGTTTAAGGCCAGATTTGAACTCGGAGTCCTGACTCCAAGGCCAGAGCGCTATCCATTTCGACATCTAGCTGCTCCTGGATTTCTAACTTTACAAACCAAATTACTACCACAAGGAACATACTTGGGCGACCCGATAACCTAGGAGTAAAAGGTGCCTGATAAGTTTATGATTGCAGGACTTATAAGACAGATGCACATTTATATGTTATGAAAGCCACTTTTTCCCCTCTGAGAAAAAAGCAGCTTAAGAGGAAAACTGGTCTGAAGAACAAACATGTCTGAGCACGTAAACAAGTGAAAAGCTAGCATTTCATTGAAAACTCAAAAGGTTAGACTAGAGCTGTGTAATACTTGGATTATGTTTTTGAATCAATTTGGCAAGCCTGTTTAAATTTTTTTTCAGCTTTATATCTTGGAATTACTAAGAAAATTTAATGGAAGAGTCCCAGGTGATGTGAGCCTTCTACCATATCCTATCAACTAACATGAAGTACTAAATTGCAAAGCACATTAGGCTTGTTCTACTGAGAACCTGCTTACCTTTACCTATCTGAAAAATTTAGGATAGTAAACCTGAAAATGATGCACTCAAAGGGGAAAAGTAGTTTAACAAAATTGGGATAAGACCATTCTGCCAATACAGCAGAAAAACACGAGCCATGAAGACTCATTGTGTATTCCAAGAATGCTAATTCTGAAGACAAAGTAAAACCTCTGAAAGGATGGAAAAAAAAAAAGATGTATACCATAACCATGAACTCATGAGCATTGTGTAACTCAGGCCCCAAGATGCATCTCCTCCACCCTGTCCATTCATGTAGAATGAGCCTTTCGTGAGGCTCATCATCTCACCTGATTTGTCTGATTTGCTTTGATGCCAGGCCCTCGAACCAGTAATGGCACTTTGATATCAAATTCATACAGCTGTCTTTTGTCGATAGGTAAGGAGAACTGCCCTGAAACACAGAACACAGGTGAAGATGGACACCCCAGCCTCTGGCTGCGCTGGGTTTCATTCATTTAAGACAAGTCTCTTATTCTATCTATTCTAGATCAACAGTGATTCATACTAAGGACAAGCCGAGTCTGGATCTCCTGCATTCAAATAAAGACAGTTTCTTGCTCTGCATTTTCCACAGCCTGGTAAAAACAATGACAGCAAACATTTACCTACCACTTATTATGTGCCAGGCACTGTGCTAAGTGCTTCACAAATATGATCTCATTTGATCCTCACAACCACCTTGAAAGGCAGGTGCTATTATTATCCCCATTTTACAGATGAGGAAATTGGGTAGAACGCAGTTTAAAAAACCATAAATGACTGACATCTTAAATCCTAGACTCACAGCACAGGCCCATCTCCTTTATCCATCCCAATGGATCTGTCTTACATGCACATGACAAAAGAACAGAAAGCCTCAAAAACTAGCTGCCTAAACAGAAACGTTTGAGATGAGTCAGTCTTCTTCCTTTCCTCTGGTCTATCCAAAAGTTCAAGTAGGGGAAAGGCTAGCAAGAGGGAAAGGGAAAGATGTTGGTGGTGTTGTTTTAGTATCAAAACTTTCTTATTTTAGCAATTGAACTAAAGCTTTATAGGCAAATCATTTCTGCCACGGAGACCTTCCTCCTCTGATGCTCCTCTTAGAATGCTTTCCCAAGGTTTCTCTAATCCAAACTATCCTTTGAATGTCCTCTTCAAGCTCTATACAGCCTGCCCTAATTACATCTATTAAGTCCCTTGCTTCCTTGGAGTTGCTGTTGTACTTAGTATGATGAACTCTTATTATTTATTTCCTTCTGTATACCTCTCGTCTTTCCACCTTTAAAGGCCTGCGAGGCAGGCCTCAGTGCTTGATACTTGACTCGACAAATGGTTAGAGACACACAATGATTTGAGAGAAACCAAAGCAGCCCCTTACCTGTATGATAGCCATTGTCTGATGTATAAAAAATGAAGGTGTCGTTTAGCTCCCCATGGAAATCCAGCCTCCTTACCAATTTCTCTACTAGGTCATCAACTGACAGCAGAGTTTGCCACCTGAATGTGAAGGTAATTAATGAGATGACATTTTTAGTTGTCACTGATTTAAGAGTATCAATATTTTTCACTAAAGTTGTTGATTTGAGTATCGAAATTTCTGGCTAAATTAAAAAGACTGCTGTTCTGTAATACTTTTCTAGATCAATTAATGCTAATTTTAAATGATTTACTGAATTTCAGAAGTTTTATTAGACCCTGAACTATTTTTAAAACAGGCTTTTACAACCATATGGCATCATTTTAGACCACCTCTTAGAATGGAGAGGGGAGAGTTATAAGGAAGATAAACACAGTAGCTCAATAAACACAGATCAATAATATAGAAATAATTATAATATTCTCATTATGTTATGTCATACTACACTCTAAAATACTCCTGGGATTAAAAAAAATAGTGTTCTTTACATTCATCCTATTTTTTTGCCTGAGTTACCACTTAAAAATTCAAAATCCTCAAGGGCAAACATTTCTTTACTTAGGCCACTTAAATTTCTTAAAAGGTGGGCTTTCCTTCAAGACAGGGACTATGTGGTTATGGGATACTACTTCTGACCCTAAAGTCTTGAAATTGACTGAGTAACAAGTCATGGAGCTAGTAATTCTGTGATATACTTGGGTCAGTCCAAGTAAGCTAATACATAGCTAATTTGCCTGAACAATGGCCCTTTTCTGAGACACCCATTCATACCCATGGATGGCTTTTGACTGGATCATGCCCATCTGCCCCAATACCACCCAAAGGAGCTGCAGTGGTTAATATACAGGGAGCAAATGTTTTGGGAGCTCCCGAAACACCACCACAGTAGAGATAAAGGAGGAATGCCTACCTTTTCCTAAATGCTTCATCTAAAAACTGTATTGAAGAATTAGTCATTGGGGTCTTGGCTTGCCTAATTAGCCAATGCTTGTTCTAAAAGTAAGAAAAACAGTTAACACCAAAGAAATGCCACCAATGGCAAACAATAGCAGAGAGGAAATGTCAACAATTTTCGAATTTTAGCCAAAGTAATAAATCCCTTGGATACTCCATTCAGGATCACTCTGGTAAGTGCCCCAGGATTATTTTTATTTTCATTTTTAAAGAACCATTTATTTTCTTCATAATAATTTTATTAATCTAAGTGTAAAACAAAGGTATTGAGACAAATAGCTGTAATTAAGTTTTTACTTATCATGGCTCTTATTCATGTTCATGATCCCTTACATTATAAAAGGCTAAGAATTAATTATACCACATAATTAATTTTAAGGTGCTAGTAAGTTCACTAAATCATGTACCTGAATCCTCTTTCAGCCATGGGCACCTTGGCCATCTTACTTCAAGGAAAAGGAAAAGCATCAAAGACACTCCTCCTCACCAGACACCCACTCACTTTTTCCCCCTCTCTTTTGTCTCCTCTGTCTATACCTCATACCAGTTACCCAGTGGTCACAAACCCCCAGGAATAAAGTTAGCTTATTAGTGGCAGACTGAATAATCATTAGCATTTAAGCCACTCTGAAACTTGAGTGAAGATCAAGGAACTTTGTCTTACTAGAACAGAGTGGGTAGTTTGGGATTCAGGAAGTTACACTTCCCCAAAACTTTAGCTTGCTCATGGAACAGATTCTCTTAGAAAGATACATAGCAAAGGCCTGACCTACGCTTCTGAATCAAAGACATACTAACAAATAGTTACCCTAACTTTCTAAAGCCTAAATGGAAAATAACCAGGTTAACAAGCACACTATAACTATCGTTCAATCAAGAACAGAGCTTTAAGTAAAGATCTGTAGAGATCTTACCTTCCCATGGATGTTAAAATTACTGTTTCTTGGTGCACTGACATTTTGGAAGCTCTTTTGATATTGAGGAGCAGCTGTCCAAGGGGAATGAGGTGCTGGAGTAGAAATCATCATGAAGAAGGGCTCAGAGTTTGACTTGTAATCCAGGAAATCCAAAGAGACATTAGCCTGAAAAACACAAAACATAATACCTCTCAATCATCTATCCACTAAATAAGCATAGGAGGTATGGTACTAGAAGAGTCCAGAGATTTTGGATAGTTCAAGATTCTACCCCTCAAGGAACGTGCCATCTAAAGGCCCATGCCTGGGGATCAGTATATTGTGAATACAAGGAATCAATAAGCACTTATTAAGCACCCAGTATGTACCAGGAATTACTAAGTGCCCAGCATATAAAGATGAAGGTGAAATAGCCCCTACCTTCAAGGACTTTCCATTCTATCCAAGAAGCAACTTAAATACATAAGTACATAACAAAATGAATACAAGTAGTTTTGGGAGGGAGGGAAGGCAGGTAGTTTTGGGAGGGCCACATAGGTGGCAGAAATTGAGTTTTGAGAGAAACCAGGGATTCCAAAAGACTGAAGTATAAAGGAAGAACATTCTAGGCATGGAGATGGAGCATGTGTGGCTAGCAGTAAGCAAGCTGGTGTGGTTGGACTACAGTGTGAGAATGTGTAATCAGCTTGGAAAGGCAGGCTGGAGACAGAGTGAAGGGTTTTAAAAATACTAACAGATGCCTGTATTTTATACTAGGGGCAATGATGTACAGCTTTTGGACTGGAAGTGACCATGGTCAGACTTACACTTCAGAAATATCATTTTGGCGACCGTATGAAGACGAATCAGAGAGAGAAGAGACTTGAAGTAGGGAGACCAATCAGGAGGCCACTATAATGGTGCAGGCAAGAGGCCTCGAGGACTTGAAGGAAGGGGTAGCCTTATGTGAAGACACAAGGTGACAGATGTGAGAGGTTATGGCAGTACAAGTTGGCAAGACTTGGCAAAGAACTGGATATGGAAGATGAGGAAGAACAGAGGAGAAGAGGTCAGCTATCTGTATGAATGGCACTCTCAACAGTAATAAACAAAGTTAGGAAAAGAGGTTGAGTTTGGTAGAAAAGCTAACTTGGATTTTGGGCATGTTGAGTTTGAAATGCCTATGGGTCATCCAATTGGAAACGTCTAACAGAAGTTGACGAGGGACTAGAACTTAGCAGAGAACACTGGGCTGGATCTGGAAGTCAGCATAGAGATATTAACTGAACCCTGAAAACCAATTAGGTAGTATAGAGAGAAGGGGGCTTATGACAAAGCTTTGGGACATATCTATAGTTTGATTTATTCTTAAATACCAATCATACTCCCAATTTGAAAAATATAAGTTTGAAATAAAGTAGTAAACCCTCCCCTTTCTAAAGTCTGCTTTTTTTTTTTAAACTTTTTGGTGAGGCAATAGGGGTTAAGTGACTTGCCCAGGGTCACATAGCTAGAAAGTGGTGTCAATTGTCTGAGGCTAGATTTGAACTCAGGTCCTCCTGACTCCAAGGCCGGAGCTGTATCCACTGTGCCACCTAGCTGCTCAAAGTCTCCATTTTTACAAAATGAAATGGATGCTTCCAATTTTCAAGTCCTACTGACACACAGACATATATTCTACCAATCATATGACAAAAGGATAGAAACCTGGTTCCTTTCTCATTTATTGACTGAAGATTACTGTTCCTGATCACACAGAAGGTTAAAGGGGGGTTACTATTCCTGATCACACAGAAGATTAAAGGGGAAAGGAATTGTCTTCTAGCATTAACTTTTATCAATGTACCTTTGAGCATCTTTCATCAACTCAGGAAAAGAAAAAGGTCAATGAAGTCATTATTGCAATTTGTCTATATTAAAACAAACAAAAAAACCACACCAAAAAATGTTCAGTACTAGTCAGTTAAGCTATTTCACTTCACCTACACAATAGAGATTTGTAGAGATTTAATTAGTACGATCATAGACATTTGTGCTATTATGAAGACCTAGTACTAAGTACTTAGCTAACTTATTAGTTGTTGACTTCTTCCTGTGTTCCCCCATAAGCAATCTAATCCAAGGTTTCGCTCATCTTTTTCCCCTTCCTCTATCAAGACGGTTCTAGCGATAGGGATGACTGGAAACATTTCATAGTTTTTTTTCTGGATAAGCTAGAAGAGTGTCTAAAATGTAGTGGGCCATTAGACTGAACCTTTGACGTACTGGGGAATTTATGGTAATCTATGACTTCACCTTCGGAAGAACTCCCTTCACTAATTAAATTAAAACAAACTCCAGTACAACAGTAGTTTAATAACTATGTTATGGTCCCCTGTGCAAAATCATCACCTTCTGAAGAAAAGTCTGGACTGTGACCAAGGCATAGGAAAAGAAAATTCGAGGGCCATGATACAGCGCTGGAATAAAAGTTCAATAAAAAAAAAAAACCCAGGCAACTATATCAGGGGTTAATCTGGAGTCCATGGACCCCTTAAGGAGCCCACAAGTTGGTTTAAATATTTTAATGCGTTTGGTTTACTCATCCTACATATTTTATAATTCAAAAGCATTTTTAGAAAGAATCCACATCATGGAAAAAAAGTTAAGTACTTCTGATCTAGAAAGTGAAATATGACTTATTTTAATGCCGTGCAAAGGAAATTAACCTTCAAAAAGGTTCATGGATTGGTCAAAGTCATTCCCCAAACTGCTGAAGAAACTGGTATATGAATGCTACAATTAGTGTGTAAGGAGTAATGAATATGAAGAATTTAGGGAAAATACGGCAAGACTTATTGGGTGACACAGGAGGACTAAAATAACCTCATGAGGATAATTTAGATAAAGACCACATTCAAGTCACTACTGGTATATCATCCTTCTTTTCAACAATCAGTATGCTACAAAAAAATGGAAAGTTACCTCTACTCTCACCATCATTACTAAGTGGTTTTGCTTAACTGTTTTATAGGGAGGGGCTGCTGCACCAAAACAAATTTTTCTGAATTTAAAAAAGGATTCAGAACCAGGACTCTGAACACAGTTTTGGCTTGAACAGAAAGACCTATGTATACTTTAAAGTACCAGAAAAAAAAATGAATTACATGGTTTTACATTTCATCTAGAAGCCTTAGTTACACATTAGAACAAATTATTATATCATGAGCGTTTCTGTCCTAAGTTAAACAAGGTCAAAGGTTTTCTGGACCCTAAGAGTTCTGAATCATGGACAAAAGCCACAATGGGGAATGAGTGGAGTGTCTTACCAGCACATCTGTCAGGTAGTCCAGACTGTAGTTTTCACCATGCTTCCGTGCCTTCCCATTGACTGAAAGAGTATAATTGTAGTACTTAGAATTCTTCTCCTGTGAAAGGGTTAAAAAAAAATTGTAGTGAGGTTAGCAAAGAAATGGAAAGCCTTCTGAAACTAGGCTGGCCATTATTATTAGGTAAAAATAACAGGCAATACCCAAGACAATACTGTATGCATATTTTTGAAATTGTGATAAGCTTAACAGAAATCTGTAGTCATTTTTGAGGTTTTAGAGAAATAAATCCTAAATTATTCAGAATTCAATGAAAAGAGAAAGGCTGATTTTGGAGGGCTGGGAGAAGAATAGGAAGATAAGAAATACAAATAAGAAAAGGGAAAACAAAGTGGTACCATTCACGTAAAAAGTCAGCCTAAGCCATACCCAAGTAAAAATAAATCTAGAAAAGTATGAACACAATGCAAAATTTCTTAAAGGACATTTCTGGGGTATTTTCTCCTTATAGGGTAACTTAGGATTGTGACTATTCAAGTCACTTACCAATGCATACCAATAACTCCATCCAGGAGGCACATGCTCCACTCCTCCAGCATCCAGGGCTCCATACTAAAAAGAAAACAGAAAAATCAGACAGCCCTCAGTTATGAGTAGCTAAGAGAAATAAGTTAACTTGGCATTGTCAACAAGTAGCCAAAGAAAATTTAATCCTATTTCAAGCAACATCAACATGACTTAATCTGCAGAGCAGAGTATGGGCTAAATGTAGAGCCTAGCATTCAGATAGACAAATAGCCACTACTTCAGTTGGCCCTAATTAGACTAATGTGAAGGTATAATTAATTTCTTTATACTCAACTCTTAAATAAAACTGATAGAATGACAAAAGCCATATTTGACAAGGTTTAAACAGTGCTCACTTAAGACAGCCTTTTGTATGACAACTAGAATCTTTGCACCTTAAAACTTAAATTCTTTAAATTTTTTTCTTAGATAATGGCTCAATTATAATTAGAGTGGGCAAAGAAATGGTGCCTTTCCTTCTCCCTTACTGCCCTTGTGACTTTGCTTTGTCAAGTAAACCATACCTCCAGAGAGGTACCTTCTCCCCCTACATAGTCCTTTTTTTTTTTTTTTTTGACGCAATAGGGGTTAAGTAAACGGCCCAGGGTCACACAGCTACCTAGTAAGTGTCTGAGGCTGGATGTGAACTCAGGTCCTCCCGCCTCCAAGGCTGGCGCTGTATCCACTGTGCCAACCAGCTGCCCTGACCCACATAGTCTTTAGGCTAAAAGTCAAAGCCCGAGTTTAATACCACCAATTCTGAGATTGTGTTATGATGAAGAAAATAATACTTCACAAATACTTCACCTGAAAGCAGAGTTGAACTATGGGAAAATTTGATGTTTTCCAAACTAGGCTTAACTTGATACAGAAAGCGTGTTAATAGCTTAGTTGTCTTAAGCTTCAAAAGCTGAAGTGACTAGGGTGTCATGTGCTTAACTATGGCACAGATTTTAGAACACTTATCTAGCCAGTGAAGTTAATTTTACAGTTTATAATAAGTTAAAATGGTATAATCCTAATACTATATGTGCATGGGGTAGAAAAGGGCAATGAAACTAGAGAGAATAAGGAAAGAGACTGATATAGCAGTATAGTCATACACTCATTCAAGTCTCTGCGGGTTGGGGTGGGGGTGAGGGAAAGAGGAAGGGCATCTAGACATCACTTTAGAGTCAGGTCTTCAAGTTAAAAAAAGGTTTCAAAGAATGTGCAGAGAAACAGAAGCAACTGTAAAGAGAAGGAAAGAACTTAATAGGTCTCGAGTTTCTATGGAAAGCAGTTAAGTGCTTGTTTAGGGTTAGACACCAGAAACACCAGAGATTACAGTACATCCCGTGACAACATATTGATATTCCATACCTCATTTAGGTACTTTCCAGCAAAAAATGTCTGATAACCACACATGGACCTGAGGATGGCTGGGAAGGTGTACGGTTCTTGAATCTTCTGCCATAACTGACTGCTACAGTTTCCTTCCAAAGTGTTGTTAACAACATGATGATTGTGTGGGTACTTCCCTGTCAGAATGCTGGCTCTGCTGGGGCAGCAAAGGGGACTTGGAACATACTACAAAGAAATAGAAAAGATAAGTCACAGCACAAAGATTTCACTCGGAAGTGGCATTTTTTTTTGACAACAGAAAAAAAAGACAAAAGATTAATGTAACATATTTTTTAAAATATCAATGTCTTTCAGTAATAAGATGTTACAAAAATCACTAATTTCTAAGCTCAGGAAACTAAGGCAGAGAAATTCTTTCACTAAGCTTTTTATTACTGTCCATGAAACTGTAATAATGTTATAGTAAAAGAAAAAAAAATTAAACTACCATATCAGTAGGTCCATGTAGGATCCAGTGGAAATTAAGACAAAGAAAGCATCTTACTTTCATGGAACTTATAACTCATTTGGAATAATAGAACATGGAAAAACTTAAAGGCAAACTATAAATTGTGCACATACTTGCATTGATCACAATGTTTTTTCTTGAGAAATTATGATTTATGGTCCCATACTAATATAAAGGGGACACATTTCTCTTATTCAAAATTTCCTTCTAAATACTCACTTAAGGGACATCAATGCTCCTCCAAGCTATGCATATTAATCAGAATAGAAGAATACAGGCTAGCTGGTTTTTCATCTTTCTACTTCTAAACAAAAACTAGCTACTATTAGGTCTAGCTCTTGGAAAACTGAGGTTTTAGAATGATTAGAAAGATAATATTTTTTTTAAAAAATCACATGATCAAGGAGACCATTCCTAAAAACAATGCTCAGTACTTAAAAAGCCAATTTAAATGGAAAGAAACAGGAAAAGCATCACAACTACTACATGAAAGACTTTTTTCCAAACCAAAAGGTAAGCCAACTAATTTGACACAGATGTTGCTAGGTCACTTGTTTACTAAGAAGGAGAGAATCTATGATTATAATACATGTGAACTCAGGAAGAAATGAAAACTACTTATAAAGTCTGCCAGATTTGTCCAATAGTTTTCCACTGGAAGGACAGAAAAATCCCATTACTTGAGACAGCTGATTTAGATGCCAGCTGCCTAAGAATGTACTTCAGTCTAGACGAAATGACAAATACAGGCAACAAAATATCTAGAATTTTATTTTGTTTTGAACAAAATGGAAGAGGGAGAGAAGTTAGTTTAAGAGCATAACAAGATTAAGTAACAGAAAAATGCTGCACTGTAACAATCTCAAATTTAGTTTGATTTTCAAGACGTATCAGGTCAGCATTTAATTTGCACCTTATTTCTGAGTTGGTTGCTATAAGGGACTTAGGAAATATAATTTTCTCCTTTCAGGAAAACTTTTCAACCTAAAGTCATTGACAAAATTCAGTTCTATTTTTCGCACAACCAAGACTAGACACTATATTTAAGTTACCAAGGTCTTTTCTTCCAATGATAGCACAACATGACAAAAGTTTTCCTTTGAACTTTTTAATTAAAAAGAAAAATGAAATTAGCTTCAAAACTTACAGCACTAGAGAAACTCATTCCCATGTCAGCAATGAGGGCCTTGGTTTTCTTGAGTGGAGTCTATAAGAGAAGCAGTTATTAATTAAAAGATACTACGAACACCAGCCATTACATTTAAAAAGAGCTCTGCATAGCTGTTTCTTTGAGGCTTGATGCTGTTCTTTTTGTTCCCGTTTTGTTTTAATATCGCATGTAAATAACTATGAGAATCACAGAATTCTGCTGAAATGTTACTTAAGCAGGGTTGGTTACAGTCCAGACTGCACCAAGAGTGAAGTGGAGCTGCTAAAAATATTCGGAAAAAGTCAAGCTTCATTGGCAGCGACTGTCCCAATCCTGCAATGCTAGTAGTTTTGGTGCTTCTGCCCAATTCCCACCATTTTGCAGGCTGGTTCTGGGCCCAGGACTAAACCAATTTCCTTCCTTCTACATTATCAGCAAACAATGTGAACTTACTTACAGACCCCACCATCAGTGAACTTGTTCTGAACTTGTATTTACCATAACTTTAACAGAGGTAACAAAGAAAAAAAAGGGGGGGCATTGAAATTATACTTAGGACATGACTAGGGTGTCCACACTCTGTAATCCCATTGCTAAGTAGAGAGCAGAGAAGCACTGAAGACTTGAAATGATACAAAGTGACATTAAGTAGAATCTGGAAAACAATATAGACTACAGCAATGTAAAGAGAAAGAAACAAAAAGACTAAAAATTACTGCTGTGAAATTGTAATATGATAGAATACACTCCCTCATCTCTTCAATTCTTGGGGAATCCAGCAATAAGTAACTCCCTTTTACCGTCTACTGAGGTGACTAAAAATCAATGTAAAACACACTATAAGTAGAGTACCATGTACTGCTGAGGCTAACCTATCCAGAATAATACTTACCTAGGAAATAAACGGGGAGGGGGAATGGTGAAAGAATAGGTAGCAGAAAGGAACAAGCATACCTCTTACTAGTGAAAAGGAAGTCAACAAGAGTCAAATTCTAGTTTTAAGAAGCGATTATGGATTATATATTATAAACCTTTCACAAATTTAACACACTTTACAAAGTTCTTTTACATATTAAAATCTTACTTGGCCCTAATAACTGTGAGAAAACATTTTACTGGGGAGCAGAGAACTGTAATGACAAATGCTGGTGGAATTTGAAGAATGATGGCCAAAAATAGTCCTCAAACAGAAATTCTAACAGGTTTCAACTGGGCATGCTCAGGGGAAAAATGAAAGAAGTCTTCTAGTTAAAGGTCAGGTCTTGCTTGAGGGCAAGAAAACCAAGGGATCACAGAGCAGATGACTATTACAACGACAGTAGTACTAAGTATGGTATAAAAATATTTTTAGCATGAAAAAAAGAGAAGCTAGATAGCCTAATATTCACAGACCTAGAATGTAACAGAAAATAAGAGGAAACCTGAAAGAAGAATCACCAGGATGGTGAAGAGCATCAAGTCAATGTCAGTTAAAGGAACTGGAGTTAACTCAGACTTCGGGAATAGTAGGTGATGGCTGTCTACGAGTATTTTAAAGGGATTAGACTTATGCTGCTTGGCCCCTGAGGGTAGAACCTGGAGCAACAGCTGCAACTTGTAGAAGCACTGATTTACAATTAGAGATATCTAAAAGCTGAATGTTCTGTTTGGGGGACTCTTAGAGTCTTCAAGCAAAGGCCAAATGGCCACTTCTTGATTAAGTGTCAGCGGAAATTCTTGTTTAAGCCTCAAGTACAGGTTTTTAATTAGCCGGCCTGCCAAGTCTCTTCAAATCCTGGCATGATGATAAACAACAATACTCTAAGCCTAGTAAGAGTACTGGGTTCTAATCCTAGCTTTGGGACTTTATTTCTTTTAGTTGTTAAAAGAAGACGTCAGGGTAGATGACCTCTAAAGATTTAAAATGATAGGACTATAATCCAGCCCAAAAGTATTCTGGGAAATAAAGAAGCCTCCAATAACATTAATGGGAATGCCTGGCCAGGCTCTCAGTAAGACTGGATAATTAGTTTTTGCTGTGTGAGAAGGGGGACGCAGCCAAGTAGTGAGGTGGATGGAATATAGCCCTTTACAGGTCTCACCTCATTTTATCCTCACATCCACCCTAGGAGGTAGGTGCTAAGGTTAATTCCATTTTACAGATGAGAAAACTGAAGCAAAGATTAAGAGGCATGTCCAGGAACACCTCAGACACTTAACAGCTGTATGAATACTAATTATTATTTCTGCCAAATCCGCCAAGTCCTTCGTAAGACTAATTCTAACCACACTTCCTTAATTTCTCTCTCTCTTCCCCCCATTCCCCTCACGCTTCCTCAATTTCCAAACAAGTGACACAGACATCAAGGCCACAGGGTAGGATGACCCAGAGGATGGAAAATAGGCTTTAAAAAACACACACACACAAAAAAAGAGGCAAGAAAGCAGTTGTCACCCGACTAGCACCTGCTTCTCCTGGGCTCCTTCCCCGGGGAGCATTTTGCCCCCAGCCACTCTGGGAAGACTTGAGCCCAGGCCTTGCTGCCGGAGGCAAGTGGTCGCCTGGGGCTCGAGAAGGACGCTCAAACGCTCGGGCCTAGGGAGGAGAGGGCGGGGCGGCTTCTCGTGCTCGCGCACGGGGCGAAGCCTCTTTGGGGCCGGGGAGGGGATGTATGTGTCGGGGCAATTACCATGCCGCCAAGCAGGTCATCCTGGTCGTCGGTGAGAATCAGAACCACATTGGGCCTCCGGGAGCCTGCCGCCTCGGAGCCCCGCAGCCAGCCGCACAGACACGAGCCCAGGAGCAGCAGCCGCAGCCCCAGCATGGCCGGGCTGGGGAGGACGCAGCCCTGCCGGGGGCGCCCTGAGGTGGGGGCAGCCCGGAGCCGCATCGTCGGGGCTGTCGGGAGCTGAGCAGGGGGAGAAGTGGCCCAAGAGAAACGCAAAGAAGGACCGCAGACAGAAAGAAAGTGCAGCTCCGACGGACGCCTCAGAGCAGGCGTTTTCTCCTCTAGCGTGATCACGTGAAGCGTGGGAGGCGGGGCCCGCGATATCATCATGTGACCCGCGGAGCGCGTGCTTTCGAGGCAAAGAGCGCTTGCGCCGGCTAGAAGGGAGGAGGGAGGCAGGAAGACAGACTGAAAATGAGGCTGAGAGGGAGGGGCGGGGGAGGAAGAGGCGAAAGACTAAAAGTAAGGCTGAGATGGATGGAGAAGGGGGAGAAAGAATGAGGAGTAGGGGAGAAGACTGAAAATGAGGCTGAGAGGGCAGGAGGAGAGGGCAGCATGGCACTGTGGAAAGAATGTTGGACCTAGATTGGGGAAGACTTGGTTTCAAATCCGGCTTCAGACAATTGTAACCCTGGACAAAATTCAAATTTCTCAGCCTTAGTTTTCCCATCTGTTAAATGGGGATGATAGCGTCAACCACCCTGGGGTTGTGGGGTGGTTCAAATGAGAGAATTTATGTTAAATACTTTGCAAATATTATATAAAAGCTGTAGAGAGGGAGTGGGAAGAAGGGAAGTTGGGCTTAGTTCTCAGTGATATTAATCAGATTCCAAAGGGGAAAGGGTAGAAAGACTCTAGGAATAAGTTAAAAAAAAAGAAACAAGGATAAAAGGAGCAAAGATCTACAGGAATTGTTCCAAAATCATTTTTTCATATTGTGAGAATTAGGTGAGCATGTCAGTAGAGCCCTGGGTTTGAATTTTGGCTCTGCCACTAGCTAAGTAACTGAGTAAGTCATTAGTACCTCTTCAGCATCTGTAAAATTGGGATAACACACTTTGCATTACTTACCTCATGTAATTGTGAGTAAAGTGTATTGTAAAACTTCAAGGACTATAGAGATATAGACTGAAATAATGGGAGATAGGTCTTTGACAATTTTGCTCTAACAGTTCTAGGAAATCTAGCCCAAATATGCCTGTAGTATAAGCATACTAAACCAAAAATTGTAATTTTTCTTGTAATCCCACATTAAATAGGCCCACTCACTGAAACTTTGGATATAGTTATTGTGCCTTTAAAAAAACAAACAATCAGTGGACTGATACCTGTCATCTTTTTAAATTACATTTTTTTCCATTGGCAAAAATATGTTTTCTTCTCCTTCCCAATCTCTTTCCCCCTAATTGAGAAAAAGAAACAAAACCTTTATCGAAAACATATATGGTCAAGCAAAACAAATTCCTGCTTTGGTCTTGTCTAAAAAAAGATACGTCTGATTCTGTCACCTCTCTGTCAGGAGTATAAATAGTATGTTTCACCATGAATTATTTGGAATCATGGTTGGCCATTATTATGATTAGAGTTCCTAAGTCTTTAAGAGTCTTCCTAGTACTGCTCACTTCACTCTGTATCTTTTTATATGTCTTCCAGGTTTCTCAGAAACTATCCCATCATTTCTTAACAGCACAATATTTCACCACATTTATAAGCCATAACTGTTTGGCTATTCCCAGTTGATGGGTACCTCTCAGTTTCCAATTCTTTGCCTCCAAAAAAAAAAAAGCTGCTTTTTTGGGCACATCTTTAGAATTTGGTTTGCTTAGGACTAATCCCTCACTTAATCTGTCCTCTTTCTCTCCCTATCCCCTTTCCCCTGCTTTTCATTCTCCCCTCCTGTTTCCCTGGTTGAAGAAATATCTCTTTGCCTATGTGTGTGTATTCTTTCTTCCTTTGACCAGTTCAGATGAGAATGAAGTTCAAGTATCGTCTACTTTTGCCACCCCTTACTCCTAGTTTGTATAGACTTCTTTGTGAGCCCTAATTATATGAGATAATTTCTCCCATCCTTTCCTCCCTTCACTCCCTCTCTCTCAATTCCTCCTCCTCTTTCTAGTCTTCTTTTAAGGTCATTAAGATATAACAGAATTACTTCTATACCCTCTGTCTAATTAGACTTTTTCTATCCCTCTTGATGATGATACAGTTCTGAAGGGACATGTATCATCTCCCTATATAGTTTATCCTCATTTATTCCATTATAATTGTTTTCTCCTATTTACCTTTTTATGTCTCTCAACTGCTGTGTATGAGCTTCAAAGTTTCTATGTAGCTCTAGTCTTTTCATCAGGAATGCTTGAAAGTTCTCTATTCATTAACGATCCATTTTCTCTCCATAGGATTATACTTAGTTTTGTTTGATAGGTTATTCTTTGTTGTAAGCCTATATCCATTGCCCTCTAGAACATCTTATTCCAAGTTCGATGCTCCTTTATAGTGATGGCTGCTACGTTGTTTGTGATTGTGACTGTGGCTCCTTAGTATTTGAATTTTTTCTTTGTGGCTGCTTGCGATGTGGTGAGGGAGAACGAGCACACACACACACACACACACACACAAACACATATAATTTGCCTAGAAACTCTGGATTTTGGCTATAATGTTCCTAAGAGTTTTTGTTTTGGGCTTTTTTTTTTTTTAGGAGGTGACTGGTGGATTTTTTCTATTTCCATTTTGCCTTCTGTTTCTAAGAAATGTAAGCAATTTTCTTTTATGATTTCTTGAAATATAATATTTAGATTCTTTTTTTTGGTTACAGCATTCAGGTAGTCTAATGATTCTTACTTTTTTTTCTCCTAGATCTGTTTTCCAGGTCAGTTGTTTTGCTTTCTTCTATTTCCCCAGCCTTTTGATTTCATTTTAGTATCTTTCATGAAGTACTTATTTCATGAAGTAATTGGCTTCTATATGGTCCATTCTAATTTTCAGAGTTTGTAGCTTGGGCAAAGTTTTGTACCTCTTGTGCCAAGCTTTTAATTTCCTCTCCAATTCTTTATTCCATAACTCTCATTTCATTTATAAAAATATTTCTAACCTTTAAAAATAACTTCAGCTTTATCTCTTCCAGGAAGTCAAGCAGAACTTGTACCCAAGTCCTGTTTTTCTATGGGGTTTTGTTTGTAGATGTTTTAGAGTGATCCTTTTCTTCTGGGTTTGTGTCTTGAGTGTCCCTATCATTATAATAGCTTTTTAATGGTGGGATTCATTTTTGTTGCTGTTTTGTTCATTCTTAATCTACTTCCCAACTTTCACTTATATTCAGGCTGGCCTCAGCATACTTTTATAGGGATGCCAGGGCTGGTCATGCTGCAGCTTTTTGGGGGTGGTGAGTATTATAATAGGATCTCAGAGACAGCTAATAGAGACCTGCATGTTTTCAGTGCTTCCAATGTGGTTTGATTCACAAAGTCTGATTTCTGCCCTTTTGGTGTGAGCTCTGCAAGTTCTTGGGTCTGAGCAACAGGCCTGTGGGCTTGTCCTAGTTGGAGTTCCAGTAGACTACTGCTAGACTCAGGCACTATTAGCCAACTGGAAAGCACTGCTGGTTCAGCATGGCAGAATCTCAGGCTCCTCTTTGGTCTGGGAATCCTAAGCTGGCTTATTTTGCTGCAGGCTTCAGACTGGCCTGGAAGATGAACAAAAACCTAGCTTTGATCTTGGGGTCATAGCCATATAGCTGCTGTGTGCTTCTCACACTGGCATCTTTGGTGGAGTTTGGTGAAGCTCTGAAAAGTAACTAGCAAAACTTCATTCCTGAAGAGACTTGGATGGTAAACTGTCATGCAGAAAGAGTCTGTAAGAGATTGCCAATTGGTAGTCCTTGGAGACGTCCAAATGCAAGAAAGTAAGTTTGATTTTATAGTCATCATTGAGATTTGGTGGGATGAAACCCATGACTGGAATGTGACTGTGGTTGGGAATACTTTTCTCCAAAGGAATAGGATAGGTAAAAGAAGAGGTAGGGAAACTTTATATTTAGGTGTATATGAGGAAATTCAGGAACCAGAGTGGAGAAGCACAGTAGAGAACATTTCAAAGCAAAAGCCATTTTGTTATCAGCATACTACAGAGTACCTGATAAGAAATGAGGAAATATAAAAGGATCTCAGGAAATCGATCACAAGCCTGGCACAGAAGCATAATATAGTAGGATTGTGTAACATAGATTATTTGTTTGTCTGCTGGAGGGTGCTTCCTCTGCCAAGAGCCAAGCATCTAATAACCATTCAACATGCCTCAATGATAATTTCATCCTTCAAAAGATGGAGAAACCAGTAAGGGGAAATTCTACACTGGATCTGATTATCATTAACAAGGAGGAACTGGTTCTTGAGGTGAAAATGATGGGAATTTTGGGGAGAAGTAGCCACTCCTTCCAGGGTTTGTGATAAGGCAGGGAAAAGGTACGTATTCACCCAAGTCTAATATGTACCTGGGATTTTTGAAGAAAAGATTTCAAAGGTTTCAGAGGAAGGATAGGTAGGATGCCATAGATTACAATTCTACAAGGGATGAGAAATGCTTAAAAATGAAATCCAGAAGACATAAAGGAAGAATTCTAGAGAGGAATAAAAGTGGGAGTTGTCTGAAGAGGTACAGGGAACTCACCAAAACCAAATTAACAAGGCACAGTCCTGTAGGCTGATCATTGGAACTGTTAAATCTCAAAATGAACTGAGGTTATTGAGAGAGGCTGTGTAGAAGGAATGAGAAGGATCAAAGTAGGGATGGAATTGATGCTTGGGGTGGATGGGCCAATGATAACTGCTAGTAGAGAGAATGCAGAATTGCTCGATTCTTATCTTGCTTTTGCTTTCTCTGCCAAGAAAGAAGACTCAACGTGACAGAACAAAAATAGCCAATAAGAAATTGATACCCTTATAAGTAAAGAGATAGTTGGAAAGTACCCGGTGACCCTAGATGAATTCAGATAACTTTGCCCAGATGAATTACATCCTTGGGTATTGAAGGAACTGGTGGATATGATTGCTGAGTCACCATCAGTGATATTTTGAAAAACTATGGAAAACAGGAGGATTATATAGTAAAACTGGTAAAGAGCTGTGGGTATAGTTTACCTAGATTTTTAGCAAAGCATTCATCACATATCTCCTGCAATTATTGTAGAAAAGATAGAGAGTTGGGGACAAGACAAGTCTCTCTCGACAGTAGTGTCAAGCTCAAAGAGCAATGGGGGTCATTAAATCATACATAAGGATCCTTATGGGCTGCATGCTGTTTTATTGTATTAGTTTT